TATATATATATAATGGAGGTTTTATGGTAGAAGTGTAAACTTAATGTGTGTGTGTGAACAATGTTCTTCATATAGAGTTGAACCAGTGTTCTGTGCTCCCTTCACTGCTGACTTTAAAGACAACTGCTGAGGTCTAATAAATCCACCAAAAGCCATCTGCCTGTCATCTCAGCCCTGCTTTTACTTTAAAGGCTGGGCAGGAGGGCAGAAGTCCCAAAACAAAGGCTCAGGGAGACAGAGGGGGTGGGAGGGATGTGAGAGGGTGCAAACCCTCCTGTAGTCACACATCATTAATATTTAACAGAACTTGTTGCAGTGAGCAGAAAATGCTAGGGTGGGTGAGCTTAAGGATGGTGTCTGCTTGCATTTGGCGTCGGGGCTGCGTTCAGCGCACCCTTGTTCGGAGTGTGCAGCGGGGTTTGTTTGTGAGATTGGGGTTGGGTGGGCAGCATCAAAGGATCACCAAGGGATAGCAATTCCCATGGCAACAGTTCGTCAGGTAGGGGGCTAGGGGTTCAGCTGCCCCTGCAGGTCCCTCGAGATGGAGAGAGAGAGAAACGGAGAGAGCGAGGAGAGCGGGAAGCATTTTGTCTCAGCACACTTGACAAAACAAAGACAACTCACTCCTCTGGTTTCATGCCACATTTTTTATTCATAAACAAGCTGCTGGCTGTAAAGACATGATAAAGCGGCACAGGGCCTCTGCTGAGATGGCCACACATTTGAATGCAAAGCCTCAGCTGCACAAAATCCTCCCGAGCCCCATTATTCTCTGGATTTCGCCGCTATTTTCATCAGCCGCTAAGCTGGCCATGGATCGAGACTGGAGATATGTCATCAAAATGGTCTCATTCAGCTACCAATGGCTATTAACATAAAAATTAAAGAATTATAAAACAAGCTTGAATGAATGAGGGATGAATAAAATGAATAAAAATCTCCACCCGCCTTGACTCAAATCATTTTCCCCTCCTTTCTCATCCCACAAAGTGGGGGATTGCTGCATTCTTCCATTATTGGATTAATTGCCTTTATTTGCTGTAAACATGTGTTTACTGCTAACATGGCCAGACAGTAGGAGAGGCAATGGATTGTGTGTGGCACTTGACACTAATATTTTTAGATTTAGAGGTTAAGATTTCTAAGTGGAATTGAAATAATAATCACATAAATAAAATGTAAATAATAATAAATGAATTAAATAATTGTTTACTGAAATCGGTCTTCCATTGGTTGGCTAAACGGATAGTCCTGAATTAAACATGCTATTGGTTGAGCCAATTTTGCTGGTTGGGAACAAAAAGAAATGTTCTGATAGCACAACAGAGTCACAGTATTACACTTTTTAGGGAAATCAGTCTCCAAAATATTTACTTACAGTTGTCTGTGCATATTAAGATGGGGCAGGAACAAGAAAAAAAAAATTACATTGAAAAAAATAAAAGAGAAATTGATTGAAAATTGATTTGTCTGTCCTGCATGCAGCATAATTTTAAATGGGTCACCCAAACCTTTCCCCTTACCAGTGATTACGGATATAAACACAGGGGTTTTCAAATATGGGAAAAAAAAATATTTTTTTTTTACAATATATATATATATATATATATATATTAGGGCATTTAAAAACGAATTACAAATGTTAATTATTTAAATATTTTTAATTTTAAGATCTAACATTAATTAGAATGTAGAGAAAAAAATGAAAATTATATATAATAATATAAAATATTTTTTTAATAATAAAACATTTCCAGATAATATTTAAATTATTTGCTTTAGTATAACGGCAATAGAAGACAATCATTTTGGAAAAATATAGCTGCCTTGCCTGGCAAGGAGATCATATGTCTTGGGCATCAAAAAGTTTAAAAACTCTTGATTAGCACAAACAGACATACAACTAGTAATATTAAACACTGTTAAATTTGCTGTTCCAAAAACAAAATTAAATCCTCATACACTTTTTATGAAGTTTAGTTTCATATTGTCAGTGCACGTTGCATGATACATATCTCTCTCTGAAGAGTTCTTCTCCTCCTCCTGTTTTTCTCCTCCCTTCCCAGCATCACACTTATGATTTATTTAGTCTGTTGTTTGTGTCAGACTGTCGTCTTGTTTTGCTTCTATCTGAAAGGTGTTTATTTTGTCAATGACTTGAGTGTTTGCCCAGCTGGCGCCGGCGTACCAAGGTTGTGCCAGCACAGTGCCTGGGGTACAGGCTTTAGGGTTTGGGTGGGGGGCGAGGGGATGAGGGGGAACCAGCGGGGGG